CAGTTCTTGGAAATTTCGCAACATGGCGACGGTTTAGATATAATTTGCCAGGGTATTACTAAATGCAATATTTTTTTACATGATTTTCTGTTAGGCCCATATAAGCTTACACTGAACTGCTGATTACATGTTACAAAAAGTCCCACGATACTTTAAAACAGCAGTTCCCAACATTCTTCATGTATTGACTCCTTAGAGGTTAAAATTGACGCGGACCTCACAGACTTATTCAGACCTCTAGGGGGATCAGAAGATCTCAAACGTTGCTTAGGGACTTTATTTAGAAAAAAAAATAGTTTCAAAAATGAATTTTCAAACTTCATTCACATATTATTTCTATTGACGTGAAAAAAAATAAATCATAGTTTTTATCTCTGGCAGTGTTGTGAAATGTCTGCATCGTTTGTTTTATCCATCTGAAGATGAATTACCGCTGTACACAACTAACGCAAGACAATACAAGACCTAAAGAACATCGAGTATACATGTCTAGTAAAGTACGTGAAAAGTTAAAAATACACAATTATGTATTTGTTTCTATTATAGTGAGATCTATCATTAGTTCTACTTTGGAAGACTACAAAAGTTAATTACATATAAATACTTGTACACTGAACTATACGCATGACACACAAACGTATTCTGTGTTCAAACAACAGCATTTCGCACGCAAAAATCTAGTGCCATTGACATTTGAGTAAAAGATAGTGTACAAGCACCTCCACAAACGTGAATTACAAAAAAAGGATATTTAAAGAGTTATTATTTAGCTAATCTCGAATTAAACGATCGCGTAGAGTTTACAACCAATTAACATTATTATTAAATATTAATAAAAGAAATGGGACAATTTCATATTACGTACGGACTCATATGTTAATCAAGTACATTTATACTATGTTTTGAACAACGATTTAAAACGGTTGCTCGATTTTTAAAACTCAAGTTTATACTAGGTGCTCTAAATTGAGCCACTGGCCAAATGGCCACCGGTGAAACAAAGACTTAACTGCAAAAAATTGTGACGCCAAATCATTTTAAAAATGCAATTTATACGATACAGCGACAGATTATGCGTTCCTTCATTTTTCTATACAGGGCGTAATATTTAAGTAGAAAAGTACCGTAACTAAAACTCAAGAATTTTTGCTCGAAATACTTTGAACCAGTCAGTGATCCTTAATTACGAGATCATTATTGTTTAAGGGTACCATGGACTGATCACGAGTTTATATTTAAAGTTAATAATAATAGTGAGTTTTTTTATTTTTATAATATCAAGTGACGGGACGAACAATTTATGCGCCTGATGGTAAGCGACACGCCTGTCCGTAACAGTTGCAGTACCTAACAGAGGCACTGCCACTGCGCCCGTCACCTTGAGACATAAGTCCCATGTGCCTGTAATTTCATCAGCACCCTTACCCTTCAAAACCGGAACACAGTAATGCTGACATTACTGCTTGGCGGAAGCAATAGCTAAGGTGGCAGTACTTCCCTGGACCAATTCTTTCACAAGGAGCTCTACTGCTACTAAATAATTAATATTTAAGTGCTCTTCACGTGTGCTCAATATACATACACAAAACTTTTAATTTTCTGTAAATTTTACAAATGTAAGCCACTGTTTTACCGGAAGTGCGACTGCAATACCACTGTCTACATTTATTCAGCATTAAAATTGAAAGTGACAGAGTGGAAAAAAGTCGAACAACCGCCACATACGGTCCTCATGTTTGTTTATAACATAAATGTCTACAGAATAGTTCATTATTATTTACACACTGTAGCGAAATTCACAAAGCATATCATTATCACAGATTCAACGCACCCACACTTTACAGGGTGTTGTTTCGCATTATGACATTTTATGTGATAGATGCTGAACATTTTTACATTTAATGTGAAAGATGTTCAACATTACAACATTCTGTCAAAGGTATTCTATATTCTGACATTTAATGCGAATGGAGTTCAACATTCTGACATTTTATGTGAAAGGTGTTCAACATTTTGACATTTCATGTGAATAACATTGAACATTTTGACATTTTATGTGAAAAATGTTCAACAATTGACATTTTATGTTACGTTAACATATTTTTTAAATATAAATTACAAAATATACTATAAATTAAAATTTTATAATAATGTCCTTACTTCGAGCTAAACAAACCAGTTCTTTTAAATAATTTTGCATGTAAATAGAAAAAAGATTTTCGATTCATTAAATTAAACAACACCCTGTACAAAACTAATATTAAATATACCTGTCTCAAGACTAAATTACATTCATACTTGTCTTTTTGAATCACTACATCACATTTTTAGTTATATCATAATTATATTTCTAGAATTATAAATGTCGATTATTGCTATAATAATAGTTAGAAAGTGACTAAATTCAGACATTTATTTAAGATATAGTACTATAGACATTCTAAAGTACAACTTCGTAGCTATTCGAGTTTCACGCAAGGACTATGAACTTATTTAAATATAAGTATATGTCTTCCAACATTACAATTTTCTCGGTCATCAGTCCGTCACTGCAATCAAAAGTATACTACAATGTTTTAGACATAAGGTCAATGTTACGAAGTGACATTGAATTATAGGATGTTAATTTTTGTAAAAAAAAATACATGGTGCTTAATTAATGAAGTGACAGTTTAACGGAACAAAGAATCTCTTAATAATGTTTACATTCGGCTATTTCCGTGAAACTCGAATGACTCCGAGGATTAGTCTTAAGAAAATACGAAGTAAGTAATAGTCAGAGATCGGAATAGAAAAGTAAGTTTAACTAAACTTAATAATAGATAGACGTAGAGTCGATAATATCTACCTCTAAAATCAGAAATTATAGTGTTGCAATTTCCATATTTTTTAACTATTTTGTTATGTTCACCTTTTTAATCGACTTCAAAAAATGGAGAAGGTTCTAAATTCGACTGTATGTTTATGTTAATATATACAAAAAACATGCAGTCGAACATAAAGACGATAAGTCCGGCGGCATTTATGAACCGATTTTGATGATTCTTTTTTTGGAGGAAAGAGGGTACCTCATTAGTGGTCCCATTTCAATTTCAAAAAAATATTTGACCTCTAAGGGTGGCAAACTAGGGGATGAATCCGGATTCGCGCACTTTCCGGTAACCGATTTCATGTAATTCCACGAATTTTTAAGGTCGGGCTTTTATTGTTTATAATTTCTGGATATTAGAGGGAGGTATTATCCAGTCAATGTATGTATATTACTTGAAGTTTAGTTAAATACATTCTGTCTATTTCGAAGTCTGATAACAGAGTCACGAATTTATCTATGATACGACGGATTGGATGTTGTTGGTAGTAACAATAATAATGGAGTTTCTGTTCAATGACTTAGCTATGATTTTACAGTTAATGTTCTCGCTAGCGACCGCGTATACTTCACAATTGTTAAGTTAAGTCAACAAATAAATAAAAAATTAGTTAAAAATTAAACTAAATCCAGTTTCGAAATAGTAAATTTTGTTACAGACTATAAAAGTGCATATTTATAACTGATTTTCAATATATTTTTTAAGGGCAAAGGGCAACTGATAGAATGCCGATGATAGCCGAAACACGAAGATTGTCGAGAGATTGTTGTATGGTACAGCGCCCCTAGCGGTGGTAAAGAGAAGTAAGCATGTATACAAGCAAATACTAATGTCACTGTAAACTCTTTTTATTTTTCATATCCATAGAGAACAAGATTGACACTGGATTTTGGGCCTTAAGTGTGATTTTAACGTGGCCTTGACCCTGTACCATAGAGTAATAATGGTTGATTACTTAATAGCTACTACGTAACAGTTACATCATTCTCATACAAAATCGAAAATACCTACGCTATAATAGCCTACCAAATCTGACTAATGACACCCGGCGCTCACTCTTACAAAAAAAAACCGAAGCAGAGGTGAAAATAACGTTGCCCGCCGTGTGCAGGTGTGCGGAACCGAATGTTGGGGTTGCACAAGGATTGTAATGTAAATGAGACTTGTCTGAGCGCTTACATTGTCAGCCGTACACTCAGCGGTAGGCGCTTATCGCATAAGCTTGAGTGATGGAGCCCTGGTAATGTTATCAATTTCAACTTTATAGTGTCTCATACTAGGGGATTGATTATTGAAATTTTATTGATAGAATTTACGTGCAAAGGGCATTATTCGAATCTGCAACGAATGGTTTAATAGTTTCCAAACCAAAACAAACTTGACATTTCAGCTCTTATGGATGGATTCCAAATTGTCGTATCAGAGATAAGTTTGTGTTGTGACACTACATTATAGATGCACTAGTTTGCAAAAAATCGACTCATTCAGTCCTAAAAATGTGGACTTGTTCACACGTGAGACTTTTATAATCCCATCTGCTGTATTATGTTCTTGCATATTTACAAGTGTATGGTTCATTTTTGACTGGTTTGTTAAACAAAGCAACATACGGACGGTTAAAGTTGACCCGCGCTGACGTACGCTATATATAGGCGGTTAATGTGGCGCTACATTTATGGTAATTCCATAGGTTTGTTTAATAAACTAGTGCAAGTGGAACTACACGCAGCCGATGGGGTGTTTGTATTTTATTAAATCCAGTTTTATGATAATAGTCACAAGTTTTAAAATTAAATGAGCTAATTGGTCTACATATCAGAACTGTTTACGCTTGTTAATTACTTTAGAAAAGGTATATTAGTGAATTGATTTTGAAAATCTCTACACTAAAGCCGCTATCAATTTTTCTAAACGTAATTTCTTTTTACTCTTTTTTTTTGTGAAATCTAGTTTTATTGGTTTTTTTTGTCAATTTAATTATTTACTTGATATAGAAATAACAAATATCACAATTAATTATGTCCAACTTCACTTTTTATTGAAATGTCTATATTACTTTCATTTTCATTACAAAATGCATTGACTAATCACCTTTCAGTCTAAAAAATCCCCTTTCGCGACTCACTTTCACTTGAACGAAAGCAATCTTCACTTCATTTTCACAAGTTTCACTTTAATGACAATTTTACTCAGCTTAATGACGACAAGCCTAATTTAAATTTCAATGTTCTACACTTTAATGAAGATTTTACTCACTTTAATGAAAATGATCCTCACTTTAACAAAGATCTTCACTTTAATGATAATGGAACAGATTGAATAGTCTTCTATTGAAGGGAAATCTCTGTTGTTTGAGCTCGCTCAATGGTTCCTCATCGTTCGTGATGCAGAAGTATGACGAAATCGTGCTTCGGCAGATAGGACATTTGTCTAGTTTCGCTGGAAAGAAAGAAAAAATATGATTAACTGTCAGGATTTCCTAATTTGACTAAGAGTATATTCCGGAGCCTATTGCATTTAAATTCCTTAGCTTAGAATCGTAATGATGTACATTTTTCACTGAATAAAAGTGTCAATTGTTAAATAACATTATTGCATAAGTGTGTCATTGAATACGCCATGTACGGTCAAGGGTTGACTCGTGCAAGGTTTACGACCGACTCTGAGGTTATCGGATGTAGTAGACGTTCGGAATACTAATCATATAAGAGGAAAAGACATTTTGTATTGTAATTTATTAGCGTTTTTCTGATGTGTTTAAGGCGAGGTGTTCAACGCGAGCCTAGATTTTCGCCCCTAGCGTCTCGCAATAGGCGCGCTGACAATTAATATGAATAAAATAAGAACAGGCGAGGAAAATTTTGACATAGATCCGACGCCGACAAGCGCCCGATGGCGAGTGTGTTCGTTAAACTGTAAATTTTGGGATAAATGTGAATAAATGTATGCCTTTAATAAACTTTTTCTTGTATCGTATTGCATGTCTAATAAACTATTTTTTATTTTATGCAAAATAAGAAATCCATCCAAGAAGGCAGGGAGGTGCTCAGTATGTATTTCTCACTAAAGTCAAATGCAAGAATATTATTTTGTGCGTTGCAATGAAACAACGAGCGGAATACTGAACAATGAATTCAATGAAATCTAAGGTCAGTGTTAGCGTACAAAATACTTATTATGTCCATTTACTTCAAGTGTACTTTGTACAATTAAATTTGAATATATATAAAATTATGTAACGTAAATTAGAATATATTCTTTGGCAAATTAAAAATAAGACATTTAAATTAATAAGTTTCGTAACTTTTTTTTTATAATATCAAGTGACAAGACGAACAAGTCGTGCGCCTGGCGCCTGATGGTAAACTACACGCCTGTCCATAACAGTTGCAGTGCCACTCAGAGCTTTATGAGATTTGATGAATTTGACAAGTGCCTGCAATTTCACCACCCTTCAAAACCGGAACGCAGTAATGCTCACATTATTGCTTCGCCGCAGAAATAGGTAAGGTGGCAGTATTCCCTGGACGGGCTCTTTCACAAGGAGCTCTATTATATATACATCAGAATAGGATGATTTGTATTAATATTAGACATAACAGGTTGATGACTTTACCATCTTAGTCAGCCTTGACGAAGAGACCCGCAAACAGGCCGGAACGTTGGTTTCTTTGAAATGAACGTTTTCTTATCATGGACATACCCATTTCGTTTTTTTTATTGTTTATTTTCTAAACATTCCAAAATATAGGTCGTATTATGTTTATTTTTTAAATAGTTAAAGTTTTTAAATACATAATTACCAATAGAAACATAACTACAATATTATTGTTTGAGGCAAATACTTAATAGGAAATAAATAATTTGTTGACAATGTACTTAAAATTCCAATAAATAGTACGCCTATTTAAATATAATCAGTAGGGCACAACAAGGAGTTACTATTATATATATATGTGTAGAGATAAAGCTAATCTCGCATAGAGATTATATCGCCTTATATCACTCTCGCGCAAGTCGCGCCCAGTTGTGGTAGCTCTGAGAAGTCGTTTGTAGAAGGGAAAGTCCACGTTATTCTTTAGTTCAGCTAAATTACTTCCCTCAATTCCAATCACTACTCATAACCCATGACGGCATCTTTTGTATTTTGATCGATTGTCTCCAACGTTCCTAAAATTCTGCATTAAAAGCTCAGATTGGCGAATTTTGTTAACTAACTTTTAGCATGCCACGTTTGAAGCGCTGTCTACCCTTTTTTTTACTAGTAATTGTCCTTTTACGAGCACGCCTATTTAAAATTGTACAACGTTTGAAATTTAAAAGCAGTTTTTTCGATCGCTAACTCTGATTATTGTATTAAGTTTTGTTTTCGTTCCTTATAATAAAAGTGATTATGGTGAAATATGTGGATACACTTACGTAGACAATGCGCGCAGAGACATGCGTGTCGGCAGGGCAGCAGCGCGCGCGACAGCGGCTGCGCGGCGCACACGCAGCACAGCGCCTCCACGGCCGCGCCGTCGGCCGCCGCGTAGCCCTCCGCCTCTCCCGGGGAGCCGGGAGTCACGTATAATCGCTGAAGACACAGTTGCATTACCGACTATCAGTTAAGTCTTTTAACAACTTGCTGAACAGTCTAATTATACGATAATTTATTAGTGTTTTAGAACAATACGGGAATCAAAACGAATGTAACGGTATCTCGTTCACCAAAATCAAGCCGGGTAGCCTACAGGATGAGCCTGGAAAACTACATTCGAAAATATTACTCTCCTTCTCGGGCAGTCGGGTAAAAAGACAGACGATATTTCAAGAGATGATCGCAACTGGAATTATCAAAAATATTTTTGTTATGATTATGAACGAGTTCACACATGTCCTTGTCCGGGCCGGCGCCGGGTCGGGCCCGCAGTTCATACAAACTAGCACGCCCCATCCACGTCCCTGACGTGTGCGTAGCTAATTTAAATTTGACATTTTAGTCACGCTTGTTATAATTTTAAAAATCCTTAAAAACAATAACACGTCTTCTGAAAACATTCAAGTTGTCGGTCAACGTTGAGGTCAGTGATTTTACAGTGAGTCTACAGTGTTGATACATATGCTCGCGATCGCTACAAATGTTTTTATGGGACATTTGAAATACATATTGTTTAAGAAATGCTGTAATTGTCTGAAATAAATAAATAAATATAAATCGTGACTATGGGACCTGTAAAGGGCTCGAAACGTTGGTTTGTTTGAAAAAACAAATATACACGATTTAAATCCGGAAAAATAGTTTAGTTTCCTAGATGAGATCTAGATTCGAAAAAGATATTCATTTCCAATGTATTGTTTAAAAGCATGTTTCGAAGCGATAATCATCACAATAATTACAAAAGTAATATTTATAAATTTAATTCGAATAACAAAACTGTACAGCTAGCAACGTCGTGCCATGTGTTCGTATCTGAGACGTATCCAATCGCGTTAAATGTCAATCTAAAAAAAATCGCAAAATAAATCATTTTCCTAAACAGTTGTCTTCGTATTGATTTAGTTTTCTCACTTGTTTGTGACTTTTAGTTAAAAATTAAAGAGACAACACTACGAATCAGTATGGATAATTATATCAAAGAGAATTAATTATCAAAGAAAATAAATATCTTATTTTTTATAAGTAAATAAGTGCGCATTTGACTTCCATCTCATCTGATGGAAAGCAACGATGAGGTCGACGACGTAGCATGCACACTTAAATAGTGCTTCACTATCGCCTCGAAAAGACCCAAGTAATAGCGTTCGGGGAATAAGTATGCAGCCAGCGAATTCAACTCCTTTGCCGTTCGCCATATAAATGTGGAAGCGAAACGTTTCGTGCGAATCTTTAGAATATCCACAACATAGGCGTGGAACCCCAGCCTACGTCTATTCCCACGATGATGGAATGGGGAAGGCGGAATTATGTCATGCAATTCCATCGCACACTCTCCGTGATATATCCTGTAGAAAAACCGATAAGCAGGCTGTACAGCGGTATTCAAGGCTCTGCAGCTTTGCCTCTATAAAATCCGAGTCACCTAAACTATTTGGCATGCTTTTTTGAATCCAATATGGCCAGTTGGTATTTAATCTGTAACCTTGATAATGTCGTTTAATTTGTTTGAAAACTATTCTGCCAAATCATTACGGCGACAACTGCGCTTCGATTGGCTAGCCTGAATTCGAAACAATTGACCAATTGGTTCACTTCAAATCGATCAGTTTAACTTGAGCTTTGCTATAATGGATGGTAATTGAAAAATTACATATTTAATTACCGATGAAATGTGATTCCGTTTGTTTTGTAATAATGCAATAAATACAGAGTATTTTTGGAATATACGGAGACGTACATACAGGTCAATTTTTGGCGCTGAAGTATTTCAACTTTCTATTTTGTGATATCAGTGCAAACGAGCGTTGACATTTAAAAGTGATATAAGGCTCATTTACCTGATGAGTTGCCAGGGATGGATTCTGGTTATATACTCGATGATAATTTCCAACTCTGCGTTGAAGTTCAAATACATGCTTCCATATGTCAAAGTCAAAGTCAAAGAATCATTAATTCCACAGGAAAAATAAATTTACAATTTGAAAACGTCACATTTAAGCTATTGCTCGTTCACTACGCCGACTTCTCTGAGAAGAACAAGCAAGAAGCTCTAGGCATTGCTTTTCAAATAAACTTAAATGCTACTCAATACACTTTGAATCAAATTTATGTGGATTCTGGAGCCATGTCGTCTTTCAATACAACTTTATTTAATACGTAGTCTTCAATTTTGTAATATGATTTTTCGATCAAAATGTTTTAGTTTTTAAACTTAGGAAATGATAAACTTAATATATGCTCCGGAATCTTCTTGTAAAAACGTACACAGTTCCCCATAAAAGAGTTGTTTACCTTGGTTAAACGAAATTGTGGTACCATGAGTTTGGACTTAGCTCTAAGGTTAATATTATGGATTATTATTACATAGGTATTCGAAACCGTCGTTGTGGCGATCTAAGAAGGAAGCCAGCAGTGAATTAGTGAATAATAGTCTTGCAGCGTTTACCTTTAAACAGGAGAGATGTCCATTGGCCTGCTTCAGGTACTGCGCGAGAATACCGCTGGGGAGCGGGCACTGGTCGTCACGGATGTGGATCACGCTTACTAGCGCTACCTGCAAGCCGATAGCAAAAACTTAACAATTTGCATTAACCTCTTTTGAAGTTAGAAAATAGAATTTGTTCATATAGCAGTAGAGCTTCTTGTGAAGGAGTTCGTCAAGTACTACTACCGTAACCATTTCTGCCGCCGAAGAGTAATGCTCAACACAGGCACATGGGACTTGTCAGCTTTATCTCACAGGCTGGTGTGCCTCTCAGATCTTTACGATTTAAAGCTCGGAGTGCACTGCAACATGGGTAGGCGTGTAATTACTACGTCATTTGATATCATACAAAATAAATAAAACCATAGATAGGTACTGCGAAAAAACAAGGTACACAAAGGAAATGAAACTGTTTTTCCGGATTTAAATCGCGTATATTTGTTTTTTCAAACAAACCGACGTTTCGGGCCCTTTACAGGTCCCATGGTCACGGTTGACTGTCAACCGTGTCAAACGTTTTCCTGTTCGATTCTTAACGTAAATAAACTAAATGAATTAAAATAACCAAATTTCTTAGTTATTATAATGTATTTTCATACTTATACATACATTATTTGGAAGTATTTAAACATACAAAACACACACTCACACCCACACCCACACACACATCTGTTACAGTTTAATATGTACATACTTAGAATTATTTTATTGTTATATTCAAGTTCCTAAGTGTACTTGCGTATGTTGTTCCGTGACCTCACTTAGGGTCGTATTCTAGAACTCGACTCAATGCTCAAGTCAGGACTTGAGTATGATTCAAAGCACTAGAAATCATACTCAAGCCCTTGCCATTAGAGTCGTATTTCCAGTGCTTGAAATCATACTCAAGTCTGATCAAATCCTGACTTGAGCATTGAGTAGAGTTCTGGAATACGACCCTCAGGCTCCGAACTGAAAATCAGTGCTGGGAACGCATTGCGTTTTCCATCTCATTCCAATACTGAGTTTGTGACCCTTTTGTTACCGCGGCTGGCACCACACAAAATATGTCTATGTCTAGTGTTCTTTTTATTATTTGTGTGAATAGTTCCTGTTTTAATTTAATAAATTTTATAAATTATTTATATATACATTTTTCTTTTGTGTTTCGTAATTATTTATTTATTATTTACGTTGAATGTTTAGATCATGTTTTGTTTTAGTTCTGTTTTATTTAGTTTTCTCTTTTTTTTTGTATTTTGTGGTGTCCTTGTGGTAAACAAATAAATGTATTTTCTTTCTTTCATTTCTTTCTATATTGGTTATTGATGGTTAAATATAGACCTTCAGTAGTCTTCGGAAGTCATTACATTAACGACAGGGAATAGCACTAAGTTGAACACCAATGTGGTAAGGCGCTGGGTTTTCTAAAAAATCTTGTAATCCCAATAAGGGAATCTTCACATTTATTAATGTGGAATCGGATTGAGCTGGCCAGAAAAAGCCTCGATCCGTGCAATAAGAAACTGCCTCCGTGGCCGAACGGTTACCATGCGGGACTGCCACGCAGAGGTCCCAGGTTCGATTCCCAAGCCGGGAGAAATATTTATATGGACAACATTTATTTCTTTCGTGAGTTTGGGTGTAATTTGTGGTTGTCTATGTGTGTGTCCATGCCACGTGCGACACAGGGTTTCCCTAAAATGGGGCTATGTTGAGTGTGTGCGTTATAAGAGCGACCAAAGGAAGACTCTTGAAGCGTTTAAAATGTGGTGTTATCGTAGAATGCTCCGCATCACGACGGATAAGGTCGAGGTCCTTAAACGTATGGCGAAGAAGGTGGAGCTGGTGCGAACTGTCACACAGCGGAAGGTTGTCTATTTGGGTCATGTACTGCGACATGACAGATATCATCTATTACACACCATAATGATAGGCAAAGTAGGTGGGAAGCGGAAGGTTGGAAGAAGTTCGTAACATCAGGGAGTGGACTGACATCAAGACTGTGGAACAATTGTTCAGGCTAGCTTTAGACAAAGAAAGATAAAGAAAACTGACTACCGACTTTCAATAATAGAGGTACTTAAGAAGATGAAGAATGATTTCGTGGGTTTCGCGTCTGTGGCGGTCCGAGGGTAAGCTACAGTGTGATGGTGACAGCCGCAGTGCTGCCATTGTTAGTGACCATGTACTGAGATAGTGTGGGATATACCGTGTGATAATATGACCAGATAGACACACACAGACAGACATAGCGAGTCATTGGATCGCAGCTCTGCCGTGTTGATCTGATGAGGGTGCTTTGTTTGTATGACTCGCAAACCGATAAACTTACCGTATCATCAGGCCGCAGCTCCGCCGTGTCGCGTTGGTCGCGAGCTAACAGCACGACAAGTGGATAGCACGTCCGTGGTGGCTGTCCTAGCGTTGGCGGCTCGTCTGTGCACAGCTTTAAAGGCCGCTCAGCGTGTGGGTTGCTCCTTAAAATAGGAATAGAAAAATTACTCACTTATTACAATGACTTAATTGACTTAGGTTATGGTACCACCTCTACGCTGTGGGTGCATCCAAGATTCGAAAGGTTTGTATGGGATTGGAGTGGGATTCTCTAATTTGTTCCCTAAGCGCCATATCTTGGACCTTTCCAAAGCGATTCATTATTTAGGTGTGCATGCTTCATCTATTCATCTCTTTCCATCAGGTGAGATGGACGTTAAATGCGTACTTATTTTATCCGTAAAAGCCTGTTGGCAGATCACCTGCCAACAGGTGATCTGCCAACAGGCTTTTACGCCTGCCAACTGCCAATTCTTAAACATCAGTACCAAAAAACTAGTCAAGATTTAACGCGATTGGTGAAGCACAATGACAGAGGGTGAATTTATAAAAATGTTTTGTTAAGAAAAATATTATTTTGATTTATGAAAAATGGTGACAGACATAACATTAACACGAGGAATAAAAATAAACTAGCTGTTCTCGACGGTCTTCTTCAAAAAAGTCTCAAATTTATACGCTTCTATAATAATATTCCGATTGATATTTAAAATTTGCCAACGGGTGACTATCACGGACTCTTGCAGGTAGTCTCGATCTAAGATGTTTAAATTAAATATTGTAATGATAAATGTATTCAAATGTGTATTTACAAAGAGCAACCCCTAGAGTTTCTTGCTCATTCTTCATAGGGTAATCTGCCTTACAAATGAGCAGATAGAGTTTAATCAGTATGATGATTTCGAGTATACTTTGCTTACCTATGAAATAAAGGCACTTTGACTTTCACTTCAATTAGAGGGAGGGTGCGCAATCTTTGCCATAATGCGGTTTGTGCGCCATTTTTCGCATATGTGTCAATTATTTTATTTATTTATTTATTTTATTTTAGTATTAATAATTTGTAAAATTATCATCAATCAGTCAATACAAATTTATACGTAGCTACATTTACAGTTTCCTTATCTCCATGTCTATATAATAGTAAAATAAAACTATGTATTTTTAATTTTTCATTAAAAGAAAATGAATATTTATAAACTCCAATTAAACAAAACAGTAGTTTAAACTAAAGGCAAACAAACTAGAATATTTTTTTGACCTCATGGTCCAGCTGTCAGCAATGTGGGCGCTAGATGAAGAGTTTCCGCGTTCCTTTGTCGCGCCGCGTCGTGCGAACCGATGCGACGCACATCCTTTGCGCAAGTCCAAGTGAAATAATCATTTATTCCATAGGTAAAATGTTTACTACTTCAAAACGTCATTTTATAAACTATTGCTCGTTCACTGTGCCAACTTCCCTGAGAAGAACGAGCAATAATCTCTAGAGAGTGCTCATTTCAATTAAACTTAAATGCTATAGAATACATTTTGAATCACATTTGTGTGGAATCTAGATTCATGTTGTCTTTCCATACATTTTTATCTAACACGTAGTCCACAATTTTGTAATATGACTTTTATAAAATATTTTTAATAAAAGAATCGTTTACCTTAGTTAATCGAAATCGTGGTACCATGAGTTTGGACTTAGTTCTAAGGTTAATATTGTGGATATCTTCTTTCTTAACGAAATTATGTATATTTTTTTGACCGGTTAAACGCGACTCTGTGTAGATAAATGCGCTGACTCCTTTTAAAGTTGTCACATGTCTAATGATAGCTTCAAAAAAAGTTTGCTTATCGGCTTTTTTTGCAAAGATTTATTGAAATCGATTAACGGAGAGCGAGCGAAACCGTTTTCTTCCCTAGTTTGCAGCCCTTAGAGGTGGAATATTGTCTTCAAATTTAGACGGGACCAAATATTCTGTCGTCCACTAACAAAAACGCGACTAAGTGACAAATGGTCCAATATCCGTTTGAAATAGAAAAAGATTTTTAAAAACAGTTAAAATTAGTTAACGTGTTCGACTTAACGGAACCTACCCTTACCATACATAGCGGAAATATCATTAAACTAAATTTCAATATTCTAAAACTGGGCTATGGTTTTTTATGACATCTCAAAAAAATATTTTGTCACTTAGCAACTCACAAATACCGGAGTAATATACACACACACACACACAAAAATAGATTCGAATTAAGAGCGTCCTCCTTCTTTATTACAGGCACATGGGATTTGTCAACTTGAGTCTCAGGGTGATGGGCGTAGTGGCAGTGCCCCAAATATCTTTGCAAAAGCTCTGAGTGTCACTGCAATTGTAATAGACAGGCGTGTGGCGCACCACCAGGCGCACGACTATAGTCCATTTGTTTAGATACTTAACTAAATGTAAACAATCTTGATACATATTTTTATTGAAACACATGCTTTACAAATCAATAGGTATAAAAATAGGCAAGCAATTTCATATGAAGCTAAGTATTTGTATTTTGTATTTGAAGGTAAGGGAAAAATAAATGTATATTTCATTAAATAGACATCTCAAGATTGTTTACATTTATTTAAGTATCTAAACAGATGGACTATAGTTCGTCCTATCACCTAGTATCATAAAAAAAGAAACGATTAGCTCGCAATCTTCCTTATCTACTTAATAATCACCTAATTGATTAACTTTAATGTACATAACAATAAAATTCAGCGGCAACAACAGCTGGTTTAATAGCCGCCGGTTTAATATAATAAATACGATACCGGTTTTTGGTAGTACATACCGATGCAATAACGTGACAAGTTATGCGTTAGGTCACGTGAGTTTGTTTGTTATGTAGCTAACCGATTTCAGTTTACAGCTTTGCGTGTAAACGGTTTTTTTAATGTAATAACTACAGTATTTACTAATCATAATATGAAATTTGAATTTGAAATTCAAATAATAATATTTGAATATCTTGTTAATGAAACATTTTACTCTATTCGTAAATATTTGAATCCTAATAAGTAATTTGACATTTTTAATTATTATTTTAATCAAAATATTTTTTTTAATACAGTTGCTCAAAACGTGGCATTTTTCGCACTACAAATCGTGCGGAAAGTTGGATTTCTCGCACTAGTGCTTTTTACTTTTCCAGTTTTTTTTAATTTACTGTTATTTTAAGTCTTAAACATAGAACTAAAGAGATTGTATATTTATTTCATATTTATGTGCTTTGTGACGTAAGTCATTCGTCATTACTATACTATATCTATGGAGAGACCGCATTTTTACACCTATGAAGTAAATGCTCCTTAGTAGCGATTATGTAGAAAATAAAGTAATATAAAATAGTAATTTTAATGTGGCTGAATACTGGCAACAGTTGCCATATTGAAAAAAGTCGGCCAAAAAAACATTGACTTAAAAAAAGTACTAATTTTTTTCATCGTTTACATTCCCGCCTTTTTCATTAACTTTTTTACGATTTGATTTTGTTATTGACAAAGGAATAAAATGAGTTTTTTTTTAAAATACTGTTTTATTTTACTTTCAATGTAGGTTTTTCGCAAATGTTTTATATATGTGTAAATTTATCAAATTTAATTAGGAATTAATTTAATAATATAGTAAAATAAGTCCTCATGTAAAAACCTTATGTACTGATAACCACGACACAGTCCTAGCCTAGTGTGGTTATCTATCTATCACAATATTACGTTTTGGACAGTTAAACAAATGTTTTTGTATTTCTTTTGTACATTTTAACTACGTATAAGTATTTTTCTTGTCTAAGTCGGTAGGTAAAGTAGGTAGTTTGTACATCATTTATAAATATGTTCTATATAAAGGACATTCCATCCTGTTCTATGTAAAGGACAAGCCTCAATCTAGCCCCTTCTTCTTATTGTATCGATTGCATGCTTAGTAGAACGCTTGCCACCGTGATGAAGGCTTATCTCCAATCGGCGTAGATACTTGCCGATTGTTGCCCAGGGTGCGTCGACGTACAGGAAAGCAATGCTACGTCGTGGAAGGAGGCTCCTTCCGTGCATTCTCCTCTAGATGCTTCCACCTATCTCTATGTTTGGCGGCTCTACTCTTTGTCTGCTATTCTAAATAAGTCATGATTCCATCTTTGGGGCGCTCTTTTTTTCAGATTTACTAGATGCGCGACTTTGAATTTTACTAATTACTAATCATTCGAATGAGCAAATCATTCGTCTAAGTCGAAGTCAAGCATTCGACTCGAGTCATATGGTTACTGGGGGTCTACTCTCGATCTCCGTCCGACATCCGTCCGAAACAATTACTGTCAAATAAGTAATATTCGATAAAATTAAAAGACAAGTATCCAGTATGAAGCTTCATTCGCATCACGCGTCTTTTCATTTGGTCAAGAATTGCTTATTTGGCAGTAATTGTTTCGGACGGATGTCGGACGGAGATCGAGAGTAGACCCCCTGATACCGAATGCCCTTGCCATTCGTCGGGTGCACGAGTGGAATGATTATTATGTCGGAAATACTCGGAACTCCACCAGATCATTCACCATATCCATATCAAAATATTCCCGTCCCCGTCACATTTACGGTATTTATCACATGCCAGAGAAGGTTAGGCAGAAATGTTCTATGGAATCTATAGATTATTTATATTAATTAGTAATGAATCATCATTCAGATAATTCAAATACGAAAATTAGTAGGTTACTAACTTGTTTATTGGAATTACAGGATTAGTAAATTACTAACGAGTCGAATATCGAAATCGTTCAAAAGATATAATATATAAGATAATAGATAAGATTTACGCTTTTTATGTCATAAAGATAGCAGATGCAAATATCAAAGGAGTTAAGAGATTTTTGCACTACAATTCACTCGTGGAGGTAAACCTACAAAGCCACGAAGAGTTTCCAGCCATTTGGTATTTTATAGGACAAAATGTCGGGGAAGAAATTTCATGATTAAATTCCACCCGCTAGTTTCCTACACCTGTCAACTAGGGGCGTGGCGAGAATTATATCATTAGGCTAGGTTCAGAAAGACGCACACCTGCCGCACGTTGACGCGTTTTCGAATGTTCAGATGAAGATAGGTAACGCGCGGTGCGCGTAA